CCTGGACCCCGCTTCTGCGCCCCCTCCCCTTCCCCTCCCCCTCACCTTCAACGGGCCTTCATGACAAAAAATAGTATGTGTCATACGGACCGTGACGTCGGTTTGCGATTCGTGTGAGTTAGCAGCACTCGGCAGTCACTCGGCGCGCCTCGTCCTGTCTTACCGACGCCTCGTGCTGCTAACTTCACACTCATCGCAAACCTCCGTCTACGGTCCTAATGACACAATGGGCGCGTTTCGCAATCGACGTAGTAGCAGTAGCAGTACTGCAACCCTATCTAATTTTGCTTTACTGCAGCTACGGTAGTTGATTCCGAAACGCACCCAATATACTATAATTCATGTGGATGCAACAGAATTATGAAGAAAAATAAAATGATATATTTCAGCTAAACTTTTTTATTATTATTATAATGAATTATAATGCAGTCTTTGATATTTCTCCCTTCACAGCCTTCAAAGCTGAGTCCATGTCTTCACCTGTCCATTTCCCCCTTATTTTCTCCACGGGTTTCTTCGCTCGTGGCATTTTGATAAACAATAGAGGAAAATATGTACATAACCTCCATATGAATTTATCGGATCTGAGGGATTGTAACGGTATATCCCAACTATTTTACATGTTCGTTAAAATTGATCGGCATTTTATCGTTGATTATCGAACACTTTTTCTTTAAAAAGAAACGATAATTATATTTTACTTACGTGATCTCCTCCAATGACCGGCATTCGCACTGACGAGCTGTCAAACACCGAGCGACCGACGGACCGAGCGATATTGGACTTCAGCCGAGTGATATTACCCGCACCAGCCGAGCAGTATTACCCGCTGCGCGCGGTCTCAACGAAATTAATAATATTTATTAATTGGATGGGAATAAAGAGTTCAAATTAGTCTCTAATCAACCAAGGAAGTGCCGCGAATCGAAAAAAAAAGTTGAACATGAGAAAGTTAAGTTTTAAATCACCAAAAACCTTATTTAATGGTCCTCCGATTTCACAGTGTAAGAACCTCGAAACCTGGCTATGTGTTTTTTTATATTCAAAGTGATATGTGAAGTGGAATTTCTCCGAAAATTACATCGTGCTATCAAATCATTTACATTAGGGAAAAGAACAAAATTTTACATTTCATAATTATGGAGAAAACCGGGCGAGCGATATTGCACGCCGAGCGNGCAGGAAAAAAATAAAACGAAATGAGTCGATAAAATACATTTTCGTCATTCAGGCCCGTTAGGTAGCGCCTACTATAGCTGTCTTGAGGGAAGCTAAATGGCGTTTAACAGACCAGGTCGGTTAAACGAAGCACAGGTATGGTTAACTCGAGTTAGCAGCCCTAGGACAATAAAAACATACAGTTTCTAGATGGGCAACCCACAAAACCTTCGTAGGAATACAACATGAAGTGTGCGGTTATCGCTGTCACTTGCTTGAAAACTCGGCGGATCGTTCNGGCATTCGCACTGACGAGCTGTCAAACACCGCGAGCGACCAACGGATCAAGCGGTATTGGACTCCAGCCGAGCGATATTACCCGCACCAGGCGAGCGGTATTACCCGCTGCGCGCGGTCTCAACGAAGTTGATAATATTTATTAATGGGATGGGAATAAAGAGTTCAAATTAGTCTCTAATCAACCAAGGAAGTGCCGTGAATCGAAAAAAAAGTTGAACATGAGAAAGTTGAGTTTTAAATCACCAAAAACCTTATTTACTGGTGCTCCGATTTTACAGTGTAAGAACCTCGAAATTTGGCTGTTTTTTTATATTCAAAGTGGTATGTGAAGTGGAATTCCTCCGAAAATTACATCATGCTATCAAATCATTTACATCAGGAAAAAGAACAAAATTTTAAATTTCATAATTATGGAGAAAACCGGGTGAGCGGTATTGCACGCCGAGCGGTACAGGTCGACTCTCCCCTACGGAAACTTTAACCGCCGTTTTTTCCAAATTAGATTTTTTGGAACGGTACCAAGAATATTTGCAATGCCAGTGGAGCTATTCTCATGAAATTCATCATAATTAATTCATTATAGTATTTCGTTCCCGATAGCGACTAGTTTTTTTTTATTTTTCCCAAAAATCCTGTTTTTATCGTTAAAAAACTGCTACTATTTTGAACCGGAAACTTTGCAAGTGCGTTCTATTCGAAGCAAAATAATTTAAAGAATTTATTGGGACATTATCGGCAACTTTAATTTATATTATTTACTAATTGTCTTTCATTTTTTAAATTCAAGTGAAAAAACTTGTTGGCACAACCATTGCAGTGGGTCTTCTTTGGCAGCTTGGAAAATGTAAATATTGATGGAAGATATAAATAATTTTTTTTTTAATATTCTTGAATATGCGATCTTCGAAGTAAATTTATGTTTTTCTTGATAAGTCTATCATTTCTTTTTGAAACAAATCTTGGAAATCGATCTATTTCGGTGCCCTCTAGGTGTATGTGGGGCTTTAAATAGTCTTTAACCGATTTAGTCGACATCATGTGAATTTATAATATGTTAAGAGATTCATGCCAGGGAATTGGTAAAATGAATGGGAGAGACGAGTGGAGTGATCGCACCAAGGACTTAACGGGAGAACTGAGTGGGTAGATCATCAGTTCAGAATTCATTAATGGGAAAATTGAAATCATGTCCTGAAATGAGTGTAGTAGAGTTTTGGAACGGATATATATGGAATTCTATGATTCGGAATCAAAACACGGATACAGGGAAAAGAACTTGAGAGAGTGAGAGTACACGGAGGAAAATTCAATGAAAATTACCAGAAAAAAAACGTAAAAATTACGTTTCGAAACGTAACCCGCGAGCGAACTAAAATTCAATAAAAAGTGTGAGTCGGAACTTAAATTGTACGAATCGCCACGTTTATTCTACGATTTGTTCCGTAAAAATTAACCACCCGTTTGATGACTCACCGCTGTGGGGACAACAAGTCGTTCCGTAATTTTTCCCCAACGATTGAGAAATTTTACGGAACGGAACGTAGGAATAACTCACCAGCTTCATAAAAATTGTTGAACGTTCAAGGTTTTTTTATTTTGGAGGCATAATAAGTCGGGAAGTTTCTGGAAGATTTTACTTCTTCGGGAAAAAATATGTGACAATTTCGTACTTTGTTCGGTGATGAACCTGAGAATTCACTGAACGTTTCAGATTTCTTCTCTTCCATTCCTATAGAAATTGCCGGAAAACGATTACCCATTGTGGATTACGTGAAATGTTCCGTATTTTTTAACTGAATATTTCTCTCCGTATAGCCAGGACTTATTTACTACATAACTACACCTCGTAGGATCAGAATAATGCGAACGTATCGAAGGTATCTGTTTTGACATCTTGATCGGCACGTGCCGCTCAATCACTTCGGCAAAAAATCGATTTTTCGGAATATGTTGAAAACTGCCGAAATGATTTGAATTCATAAAATTCTGCCCGACGGCCTGGCACAAAGGGTAAGTTCATTGCCTCACGTGCGCAAGGTTCCGAGTTCGAATCCCAGTCGGGGAGAATGATGAGATCTAACCTTTTTACAGTCTTGATCATCATCGCAATATACTCAACCTAGTTAAAGCAATGTAAAATAACACTAAAAAAAAGTCGCTTCGCTATAATAATTTTCAGGAATCGTTTCTTATAAGCGGTATGAATATTCACCAAATCTATTCGAAAGGAAATTCCCAATGAAATGAGTAGGATGAAAATGTAAATACGAAATTAAAGTGATCGACCAGGCCGAGACGACGGTTGCACCTTCTTGTTTTGTCTCTTTTTCTTCTCTCCCTTTTGTAAATTGAGAAGACGTTGTTAATTAAATTAAGCCAGCTCCTCATCCAGGATAAGGGCAAAGCCAACAATGACTACTCCACATTCATAATTATCAAGGCATTTTTAGATTAAATTTACCAGCTTGGATCGATGAGAGTACCAGAATAAATGGCACAATGGCAACCAGCATTGTCCGTGGTACACCATCACGAACATGTAGACGTGAATCGTCTCGCATCCTCAGTTCATGCAATTGGAAGTTTATTCTCCTTGGATTATCAACTCCTTCACTCTGCTGGAATCACACAAAACATTTTACCAAATTAGAAATGGCTGAGGAAGATAAACAAGAGTGCAGAGTAAGACAAATAAATCTCATTTCCTTTTTCATTACTCATTTTGTTTTCTGTTAATTTTCTTAATTGGGAGAATGGGGAGATATGGAATCGGGGGAACATCGGGGCTTTAATAAGCTCCATGGGCTCCTCAGTGTCACTTAAGAATCTACATTCTAAAACTTTTAATTACGAAAAGTGGGGAAGAAATTGTAAACAGAAGAATTAATTAATCTATAAGGGGTAGATGGAATACGAAATTTATAATTTTGTTTTAAGAGGGATGATGATCACTTTGCATCAGACAGTTTAATTTTTCGCGGAAATGTTTGTTGTTAATTACGGGAATTTTAGCAGGAGAATAACCGGTTATCACGCCATATCAGTGCGAATATGGAGAATGTGACATGAGTTCAGCGAGAAATGAGTTGAATTTTTATGAAAAATTAGAAAATTCGAGGAAAACAATTTTTTTATGGAGACAAATTGAGACTATTACACGGAGAGAAATATTCAATCAAAATTACGTATCTTTTCCATAATTCCGGAGCGACATGTGGTTATAGGAAATTTCACGGAACTGTCACGGAATTTTTCCAGTGCGTTCCGAAATTTTTATCTAAATCTCCTGTGAAAAATTGCGATACCATCACTTGAATTTTCTGAGTCGATTCCGTTATCAGTGAGCGAATTGTGAGTTCCGAAATTTTTACTGAACATTTTTCTTCGTGTATTGGGAAATAAATGTCACGCGCGTCCCCATCTTTTCCGTTACTCCACACAAAAAAAGATTACAGGAAAACCTAAAAACTTGCACATTTTTTCAAGTAGAAAAATTCAATAGAAAAAATTCTATTAAAAAAATTGATAGAATTGGATTTTTCTGTATAATTCATTTTATTCAAAGATTTCCTCTAGAACTTTCTCCGCTAAAAATTTCAAAGTTTTTTGTTTGATTTTTGAATACTATTTCGTTTCATAAAATCTAATAAGAATGTTACCAGAAATCGATTTCATGCCTAAAAAAAGGTAAAGTTTAAACAATTTCAATTATTTATTTATAAATAAGCAACATTTAAAAAATAATAATAATTCCGTGCGAAATGTAATTTTAATGACGTTGAATATTCATGATTTTTTTTCAAATTTTTCTCACACAATTTAATTGACAAATTTGATGACTGAAAATGGCTGAATCTATAGTGCGGTCTGTACCAAATTAGAAAAGATACTTGGATATGCTTACATCGAATTCAAGGTCTTTTCCCGGAAAATTCAGCCAAATTTTTTTAACAGTATAGAAATCTGAAATTGAGACGCAAAATTTCAGATTTCAGAAGAAAAATTGAGACCCAATTGTTGGAAAAATAGATGTAATCCATGTCCCCGTTATTCCCGTTACTCCACGCATAAAAAAAATCATAAGAAAACTTGAAAATCTACTCATTTTTTCAAGTAGTACAATCCAATAGAAAAATTTCTATCAAAAAAAAATTGACTTTGATTTTTCTGTATTACTCATTCCATTCAAATATTTTCTGTAGAAATTTCTCCACTAAAAATTTCAAAGTTTTTTGTTTGATTTTTTTAATGTGAGGAGAAAAAAAATTGGGTGAAAAAATTAGGGAAATTTATGTCAGGAATTCCGATAGAAAAAATTGTACAGAGATATCAATTGCACTGATTTTTAAAATCAAATTCTGCAAAAAAAATTCGGGCGTTGGATCAAAGATTCAAAATTATTCGTTAATTTTCCACTGATCATTCATCTTTATCTTGATTGATTTTTTTCTATTCATCATTCATTCTTCTAAATAATGCATTTGTACATGTCATGAAATTTAATGTGTTCCATTTTTCCATTTTCACATCAATCATGTATAATGATGAACTTTCCATAATTTAAATGAAGAAAAGAAAACTTCTCACGAGTAAATGAGATGAAATTTCATAGAAAAATTTAACGAATTCGCTAGAAAATTCTATTGAACTTCGAATAGTTTTAGTCCGGTTGTATTGAAAAATTCCCAACCTTTTTTGCGCGTTTTTAAACTAGAAATGTTCAATAGAAAATATTTTGTAGAAAAAAATCATTAGAATTTTATTTTTCCATGCAACTTATTCTATTCGAAATATTTTCATCATCTTGACCGATTTTTTTTCTATTCATCATTCATTCGTCTTTCATGCATGTCATGAAATTTAATGTTCCATTTTTCCATTTTCACATCAATGATGAGTAATGATGTGCTTTCCATAATTTAAATGAAGAAAAGAAAACTTCTCACGAATAAATGAGGTGAAATTTCCTAGGAAAGCTTAATGAATTCGCTAGAAAGGATTTGAAAATTCTATCAGTTTTCTGACAGCTCTGCTGAAAAATCCCGCAGTTTTTTTGAGCAGTTCTTCCAATAGAAATGTTCACTAGCGAAAAAATATTTTATAGAGAAAATCAGTAAAATTTGATTCTTCAATACATTTTACTCTACACGGAGAGAAGAGTTGAATAAAAATTACTTAGAAAACCGGGGCGAATTTTCCATTAGTTGAATGAAGAAAGGAAAACATCACGAATAAATAATGTGAAAGATCAGTGCGCAGGCCCGCCTGATAATAATCAGAGATCGGCAGGGAAATCATTTCCATTATTAATATTTCATTAATAATACCAAATAATAATACCAAATGTATTTTTCATTGCGATACTAATGAGCAATGAAAATGAAAAAAGGAACAAATAATTTATCAATCAATAATGGTACAAAATTTTATTTCATTATTACATCAATGGAAAATGAAAAACAGAAAATCCCAATTTCTTTCGTCATGAATAATGAAATAAAATTAATTTTTCATTATTTTAGAAATGGATAATAGAAAATTGAAAAATCCGATTAGTTTCGTCACGAATAATAGAAACAAATTCAGTAGTGAATTGGTAAATGGAGATAAGTCGACTTATCTCCCAGTTGAGTTTTTGAGGAGTATTTCCGAATCTAAGGGAGATAGCGAAATTCTTGTAATTGCATTTGTTGTAGCACTCAATCGTCTCCACAAAAAAGGTTATAATAAAAATAATTATTAAAATTTTCCTATCTTCCTTAGACTCCGAGATATTGATTGAAAACTGGTCAATAGTCAAAATTGACTTATCTCCTTTTACCACTTCGCTACTGAATTCATTTTTCATTATCATAGTAATAGATAAAAATCCATCCTGGTTTCCCTCCTACCTACTCCAAAAAGCATATCTAATAATATCGTTTGACGTCGCAAGATGTCAAACACTATAAACTCTCTTCTTCAGCGAAAAATGATTGCCGTATGACAGACCTAGCTGATGCCTAACTGCTAATTTTTTGTTCATTGTCCATTTTACGTCGCTATCTTATTTTAACTCGTCCCTAAAAATATTCAATTAATGAGATAAATTTCATCATTAATTAGATGACTATTCAATAATGTGTACTTATAATTACTGATTAATTGAGCAATAGAAAATTTTTATTTCTGATTATCATCATAGGGAACGACATTTCAATAATCATTGTCCATTGTCACAGTAATGAATATTTTGACGGTCAACCTTACCCCGTAACAGAATAATGAAAATATTTCAGTTTTCATTATTGATTACATATATATTAGAAAATATTTTTGATTTGATTATGGATTGAATGACTACTCTAAAATATTTAAGTGTAATTCCTGATGAGATAAATAATAGTTTTTTATTGCTAATTATTACTCATTGATACGGTATTTAAAAAATGTGAATTTCTCAATACTCATTCATAATGCAATGAAAAATATTTACACGTTATTAGTGATTGAGAAAAAATATGTAATACTGGTGCAAAGTGGCTGTAGTGGTCACGCGGGGAGTGTGTGGCTCCGGCGGTCATCCAGGCTAAGCAGCGTCCAGTCTGCCCAGTACTTGGATGGGTGGCCGCTTGGGTACACCTAACCGCGTGGGACTACAGTCACTAGGCACGAATGTAGAGAACCACTGTGCCCATTGAGTCAATGTGACCAATGGTCACAGTGGAATCCCAGCATTATCGGCCGGCTGCACGACTGAGGTTTTCCATGTTTTCCCTGGCAGTCCAATCCCGAATGGGGTGCAGTTGGGGATAAAGTAAGTCGGCCCCATGGTAACGCAGATAGGGAAGGGAACAAAATGTAAAAACCCGAGAGGGTATAGGGTAAGCTACCCAGTAGATGGACACTGCCCTATAGATGGACGAGCTACTTTTGGATAGGAAATTACGCAAAAAAATACTGAAATGTGAATTGTTGCTTTGAATTTTCACTAACTGTTGTGATTCTTAACCCCTGAGTGACGATTTTTTTTCGATCAATTTTTTTTTCAATTGCTAAAAAAACAAACGTCCATCTACTGGACGGTTTTCTTAGGCGTCCATCTACTGGGCAGTTTACCCTACATATGGAACCAAAAATATACTGGTGCAAATAATATTTGTGCCGATCTCTGAATAATAATAAATAAATAAATATCAGAAATTAAACTTCTCTCTCACTAACAAATTCTTTTGACCAATTAAAATTCATAAATTTCAATATTCAGTACACATCAATTAGCAGACCGGGGGGGATGAGAGTCCAGAGACCCTCCTTCACCTTTGAAGACGCTCAAGAGTTTACCGAGTTAACAGTGAGCCAAGGGATTGAGTGAACAGCATGTAAAACAACAAAGTAGAAAGTAACAGAATTTAATTACAATTCGAGCGGTGGAAAATATTCGAAATACTCGAATGCTTGGCGGATTGGAAGAGAGGAGGCTTTCCCCCGTTTGTACTTCATTGTTACTTATTACACACGCCCCCGTTCTCTGTCTTCATTCTCCCGACTCTCCCAGGAGCTTTGAGAGTAAACCGCGTTCTTTGCGTGCAACAAAAATATCTTTCCCGTTTATTTTTCACTTTTGTATCTTACTAAG